CGGTGTTTCCATTGCTTCCTTGTCCTTATGTTTGTGTTTTCTTTGTTTTCTTTATTTTGGTTGGCTTTTGTGGGTTTTGCCTCTAGTTCTTCTTGTTTTATGTTATATACTTCAGTTCTGAATCTTTGGTGTGTGGTTACCATTATGACTATCTAAAGGATAGTTATATATATAACTATTTTCTTCTGCTATTTTTGTCAGCTATTTTCTTCTGCGTGTGCCTTATCTCCTTTTCCCTTTGCGAATTTGAATATTTGAGCCCTCCCTTTTTTGGTTGCTTCCATGTCCTGGCCACTGTGAATAATGCTGCTATGAACATTGGTGTGCAAATATCTTTTCGGATATGTGTTTTCAAGTGTTTGGGGTAAATACCCAGTAGAGAGATTTCTGGATCATATGGTAGATCAATTCTTAGTTTTTTATGAACCTCCATACTGTTTTCCACAGTGGCTGTACCAATATGCAATCCCACTAACAGTGCTTCCTCGCCAACACTTGCTGTTTTTTGATTTATTGATGATAGCCATTCTGACAGGTGTCAGGTTATATCTCATTGTGGTTTTAATTTGCATTTCTCTGATGATTACTGACCTTGAGCATCTTTTCATATGTCTCTTGACCATCTGTATTTCCTCTTTGGAGACGTACCTGCTCAGGTCCTCTGCCCATTTTTGTTGTTGTTGTGTTGTACAAATTCTTTATATATTTTGGATATTAACTTCTTATCAGATGTATCATTAGTGAATATTTTCTCCCAGTCAGTCATTTCTCTTTTGTTTTGTTGATGGTTTCCTTTGCTGAAAAAAACTTTTTAGTTTGATGTATTCAGGTCCTTAATCCATTTTGAGTTAATTTTTGTCTGTGGTGATACACAACAGTCTAGTTTTGTTCTTTTTCAGGTGGCTTTCCAGTTTCCTCAGCACCATTTATTGAAGAGGCTTTCCATTCTCCACTGTATGTTTTTGGCATTTTTTTCAAAAATTATTTGCATTTTTTTGCATTATTGGCATTTTTTGCATTATTGGCATTTTTTTCAAAAATTATTTGCCCATATAAATATGAGTTTACTTCTGGACTCTTAAGACTTTTAAGGTTTGCACTAAGAAGACCGAAGATAATCCATTGCGTTTTCCTTTATAAGTTACCATTTTCTTCTCCCTGGCTGCCCTAAGAATTCTGTCTTTGTCATTGATTTTTGATAATTTTAATATGATTAGTCTTGGTGAAGGCCTTTTTGGTTTGTGATAATTGGGTGTTCTGTTGACTTCTTGAATTCTAAGCTCTCTAGCTCATTCGTTAGAGTTGAGAAATTCTCATCTGCTATTTGTCTGAAAATGCTTTGCAGTCCGTGTTCCTTTTCCTCGCCTTTGATAATGCCCACTATTCTTATATTTCCTCTCCTGATGGTATCAGCTAGTTCTTGAACTTCTCTTTCATTATTTTTCATTCTTTGGTTTCTCTCTTCTTCCTTCTGATTTATTTCTAGATTTCCGTCTTCGATATCACTGGTCCTTTCCTTCATTTGGTCAACTCTATTTCCCAAGCTTGCTATTTCATTTTTCATCTCTTTTCGCGTGTTTTTCATCTCTAGAAGTTCTATATGGTTCTTTTTGAGGATTTCAATCTCCTTGCTCTGCTCATCTAGTTGTTTTTTCAATTCCTGAAATTGTTGATATGATTTGTTTGGGTATCACTGAGTTTTTTCAGAAGTACCATCCTGAATTTTCTGTGATTTAAATTCCATATTTCTATGTCTGTAAGCTTATTTTCTGGAGATTTTTCTTTTTCTTTCTGAGATGTCTTGTCACCTTGGTTGTTCGTGGTGTTAAATGGACTCTTTCTCTGCCTGGGCATTAATGGAAATGTATTTTGCTTTTTTACGAGAACGAAGATTTATTATATAAATGTCTGTCTTTAGCGTGCTTTTCTTTTGGTTTCCGGTAGGTGTCGTCTAAGCCTCTTGGATCCGTGCTTTATTTAAAGCCTTAAAAATGCCTTTTTATTTTTCAATAGATATTTATTCACGCTCGCTACCCTCAGTTTTAGTTCCTTACAGTGTTAGCAACAGTTTCAATAGCGTTTGTTCAGATGCTCCTGAGGCCCCGCGGTGTTTGGTCTCGGAGGGTATGGGGGGAGGACCCCTCTGGATTGGGGGTTGGGGGCTGCGTCTCAGCCTCGGTTATGCAACTGCGGCTGGTAAAATTCAACTGTTATTTTTCTGCTGTCCCGCTTCTCTGCCTTCTGCCCTGG